ATTGCAATACATCTTTAGGGCATACACACTCTAGTCCTCGCTAATCACACTTCCAGGTCCTCGTACTGAAGGCATCGGATTACATCTTAAGGGCACACACCAAGGTGTTCGCGATGAAGACATTTCTGACAGATCAGAATAGTAGAACACATGGTTATTTTCGCTACGTGTCTGATAACTTTCGATTTTTAGGAAGAAGACCACACATGGAGGATAATTCCAAGTTTTTTTAGCTGACCTGTTTTTACGTTAGCACAATGAGGACATATACATATCCATTATTAATATACATTGCGAGGACCAACGAAATGCATTATGGGAATGGTCCTCACAAGTAAGTCCTCATTTGTCATGCAGGTCTAGAAAAACGCTATCTCAAGACCAATTTACCTTAGGAATAAAACTAAGTGATGAAGTTACTTGTGGACTTGGATAGATTCAAATTACAAACAATCATGCATCTAGCACCACTGGAACTAAGGGTCCTCATTACGAGAGAGAGAGAGATAATTGGTAATGCCCAAGATTTAATAAATATAATGAATGACCAAGATTTCATAAATATAATGAATGACCAAGATTTCATAAATATAATGAAACTGACAGCTTTAATTTTATTTGCTGTATTCGAAATAGTTATTGATGTTCGTATGTTTCTGGGGCTTTTTTTTTTGGCAAAGTTGCGACAGACCATAACGAAACCCAAAGGTTTGTGTTGACTGTTGATAACATTTTACCCGTTCGAATGAGAAGCAAGGATAGTCCAATCCTTGCCAAAATCAGCCCACAAATGTAAATAGCAAATTAAATGTACATATACCTATTCTCTCTTCAAACAACAATTTATACTCGAAGAATATCTAATATCTGTCACAAAAAACAACAACTACGAGTATCGCTAGCGCAGTTCAGAGCATGTTATGATTTAAAGATCTATAAAGGTATAGATATCAAAAGTCTAACAATATCTGTACATCTTGTAACCTCAATGTTGTAGAAAATGAATATCATTTTATGCTTGTGTGTAAACTTTATCTTCAATTAAGAAAGAAGTATATTCCAAAGAAGTTTACATCTTATCCAAATGTCAGTTTGTTTTGCATACTCATGTCAACCTCAAATATTACTTTATTACAAAATATTGCAGTGTACATACATCATGCATTGTTAGTTAGAAGAAACACGCATACCTTGTAAATACGTTGAACTAGAGGCCTATGGCCTTTTAGTTTGCCATGAATAAACAATTTAGAAATGTAGACCACGTGACCTTGTACCTGACTCAAAGAATAGTCAATAATATATTATGTTGGAAGTATGTGTTCAGAAATCATCTTTTCATGTGCTGAGCGAAACGCATCAGATCACATGCCCGTGAATGCCGTTATATCTGTACCAAAATGAAAATGACATGTCAATAAACCAGCACGACGCAGCACATGCAACACAGTGCGAACAGCATGACGTGACGCGCTTTCTGTGGGAGAACTGTAGACGCGATGCATTCCTCAACCACCTTAGTAATGAACAATATTTTAATACAGAGACATTCAAAAAGGCAGTTGAACATGATATTGATTACAGTGTTGAACTATTACAATTAGCTGTTAGTGAATCGCTTGTCAAGACAGGTTTTCATCCTACTACTGGAAAAAGAACCAAGATAAGTAACCAGCACCCACAATGGTTCGACAAGAGCTGCCACAGTGCTAAAAAGAACAAATATAAAACGTTAAACCATTTTAGAAAGACAAATAATACTGAATATTATACAGTTTATATGTCTTTGAAGAATCATTTTAGAAGTTTGTGCAAACAGAAGAAAAAGGACTTTGAGAATAAGATTATGGAGGATATTTCTTAAGCAGCCCAAGACAAAGATTTTAAATATTCTGGAAACTAATTAAAAAACTGTGTGGATCTTACCAACAATTAAGGCAAGAAATATCAGGAGAAGAATGGCTGACCTATTTTAAGAGACTTTTAAATCCAGAGATAGAATCAGATGCTGAGTTTAACGAATATGTCAAGAATAACATTCTAGATCATAATTTTGCTAATTGGTTGAAATGTGCACAGTGTGATGACTTAATAGGAGGTGTAATAACTGAAGAAGAAATTAAACATGCATTGAAAAAATTGAAAACTGGGAAATCTCCAGGAACTGATGGTCTCCCACCTGAAATATTTAAAGAATCTTGTCATATCATAATGCCTTATTTATTAATACTTTTTAATGAAGTATTAAAGAAGGGATATTTTCCACAGGCTTGGAATAATGGGCTTAATACCACTCTCTTTAAGCAATGAAGTAGAACTGAGCCAAGTAATTATAGAGGTATCACCCTCCTAAATATTATGGGGAAAAATCTTTACATCAGTAATTAATGAAACTCTTACTCTTTGGTTTGAACTTCAAAATTGCATATCCGAATCAGAGTTTGGTTTTAGAGAGGGTCATTCCACTATTGATAATATATTTGTTCTCCATTCACTGGCACATAAATATTTAAGGAAAAAAGGAGGTAAATTTTACTGTTTGTTCATTGATTTTAAGAAAGCTTTTGATATGGTTGATAGGACAAAATTACTGTATTTAGGTTTGACACAGTGCATCCATGGAAATGTACTTAATGTACTTAAATGTATGTATAGCAACGTTAAAGCTGCTGTGAAGCTAAGTTCTTCACATTTTACTGATTTATATCCATCTCATGCGGTATTAGACAAGGATGTATGCTTTCACCGCTACTGTTTTTGATGTACATAGACGAACTAGTAAATGTTATGAAGAGTGATGACGCTCGTGGTATCTTTATTGATTGTGATATTGATGAAATATTTATGCTCTTATTTGCAGATGATGTGTCCATACTTGATTCTATTATAAATCTGGGGCGGTCGGGTAGCCTAGTGGTTAAAGTGTTCGCTCGTCACGCCGAAGACCCGGGTTCGATTCCCGACATGGGCACAATGTGTGAAGCCCATTTCTGGTGTCCCCCGCCGTGATATTGCTGGAATATTGCTAAAAGCGGCGTAAAACCATACTCACTCACTCACTATTATAAATCTGCAAAACAAAATAACTAGTTTAGAAAGATACTGCTATAAATGGGGACTAACAGTAAATATTCATAAGAGTAAAGTTATGGTATTTAAAAATGGAGGGCCTCTATCACAACATGAAAAATGGTTTATTAATGGTGAACAGCTTGAAGTGGTGTCATACTATACATATCTTGGTATTTTAATTTCATGTAGAAATATGTTTACTAAATCATGTGTTACTTTAGCTAAACAGGCAAACAAAGCTCTAGTGCCAATTAAAAGAATGATGGTTAAATATCCAGACGTAAACGTTGATACATACTTTAACATTTTTGATTGTAAAATTTTACCCATTTTGCTATATGGTGCGGAAATATGGTGTACAGAAGTAAGAAAAAGCATTGAAATTATACATACTAAATTTTGTAAATATACTTTGAAAATAGGATACAAATCTTCAAATGCTGCTGTATTAGGTGAACTTGGAAGAACGAGAATGTATGAACATGGTGTTGTCAGAATAATTAAGTATTGGATTAAACTATTAAGAATGCCTCTGGGTAAATATCCCAAACATTGCTATTTCATGCTATGTAAATATGATGAATTAGGCTATAAAAATTGGGTCTCATTTGTAAGATATACATTGTTTAGTTACGGTTTCGGTTATGTATGGTTGATGCAAGATGTCGGAGACTGTGATGTTTTTATTTATACTTTTAAGGAAAGAACAAGAGATTTGTATATGCAAGAATGGTCAGATTGTATATCTAATTCACCAAGGCTAAATTTATATTGCACTTACAAATCCTTACTACAACCTGAAAAATATCTATCATCGATTAAGACTGTAAATTTAAGAAGATCTTTAACAAAATTTAGATGTTGTTCAAATGATTTTAAAATACATAAATATAGCATGTCTAGTGACCATGGCTTTGCTGACAGTCTATGTACTTTCTGTAAAGAAGACTTAGATGATGAATACTATGCACTATTTATACGTCCAGCTTATACTAGCTTCAGGAGAAGATATTTGCCCTCGTATTACTATCAAAATCATACCCTGCACAAGTTTGTATTGTTACTCAGAACAAATGACGACAACATTTTATTTCAGTTAGCTTTTTTTTTAGATAAAATGTTTAAACTTAGAAATTCTAAAGCCAATATCAACTGAAGCGCTCTGTCATAATATGTCAAATATTATCCATGGCCAGACTATACGAAATAAATTCTGTTCTGTTCTGTTCTGTATTCAGAAATACATCAACGATTATTCACTTTAACAGTTTGTATTAGTCTTCTCCATCTGGTGTGTAACAGCTGTGCTATTGTTGTCGCACCTATCACCCTCGTTTTAATGCGTGTACAGACAATATATATACATCGGCTGAAAATGAGTTAAGTCCGTGTAAAAGTGGATAAATTAATTAAATCCCAATATTGCCTCTCGTGTGGTATAGGAACTATAATTAATTAAGTCCAGTTTATTCCTTACACTAAGGTGGTAGAATATTGGTTCATGCGGACTACCAGTATACCATAAAAAAACAGCGACATATTGGTGATGGCTACATCATGCCACTGGATGGCCAGCTACTCTGAACACTAAGAATGTCATTCTGGTCACAACCATCAAGCAGACCAGTCAAAACTAGACCTTGATGTCTTCTAAAGCGACATGTAGAAGCGTGCTGGAGATGAAGTGATTCCAGTTACAAGAATAAACCAGGAAGAGGTTTCTGGAAAGGATTATGTTTTATTGTGTCCTTTTTATGAGACTGTGTTTTATCAAATATGCGACATCGCCTTACTCCGTTTATTTAAATTTTATCATTATTGGCCCAGATTTAATAAATATAATGAAACTGTCAGCTGTAATTTTATTTACTGAATTCACTACCATGACGAAACCCAAAGGTTTGGGTTGACTGTTGATAACATTTTACCCGTTCGAATGAGAAGCAATGATACTCCAATCCCTGCCATAATCAGCCCACAGAGATGACTGCATTTGATTCTTGACACTTTGGATGTGCTGAATTTAGAAACAAACATAACATTTACGATGAGATAAAAACATATATTTATAGCAATAACTTCGTGCAACTATCGTCGCACATGCAAATATATGTGAGACTCAGAATTACAAGTGTTTGAGAATAGTTGATAGAGCTGCCTATTTTTTATATTTAACGTATATGTATATAGATTGATTTATATTAAATTTGTTATATTAACATACTGACAAATCTAATTTAGCGTTCACATGAAAAGGTTGTTTTATATCGAATGTTATATTAGGGTACTAACAGATTTAATTGGAGATACATATAGTATTAAGAGGTTGGAATTTAAATAAACTCTTGTTGTACAGCATTTAAGACAAATACACTCATACACTGTGAGATGTTATTATCAGCCCTGAACATAATAGTTCAGAAGTCCATGCTCAGCTTCACAACACAAGCTACCGATGTTACACACTAATGTTAGAGGTTGTCAAAGAAACATGGATACATTGGATACATTCGTCACCAATTATATCTCAGCATAAAATTAACCAGAAACCGATCATGTCACAATGGTCTGCAAAGCATTGTGATGCACAGTGGCGATATCCCTAAGCCATATCTCCTTTGGAAGCCAGTTTGGAATGATGAAAGGCGTTTTGCACACAACAAATGAAACGGAAAGTCGGATGAAATGTGATATGGGATGTTACCCGAAACGATCTAAGTTAAATAGAAGGATTCACCTGCACCAAACATGCCAACCTCTTTATAGGTTATCCTTCTGTGTTATATCGGGGACTTGACTTTGGTTTGGCTTATTGTCTACTGGTAACTCCTCCTTTATGTTGTTTCAAAATAGAATTTGAATCCCGTTTATGTTAATATTTTTTATTTATCATTAAAAGATTGGCTTCATAAACAAGATAAAATTCAGTAGTTTGGTTAATATTGGTTGACCCATTCGCAACTTTAGACTGCCACAAACTAGCTGATATTTCGGTAAATACATTGGCTGACCACCTGTTCATCGTTTTCACTGCCCGTCCAGAAATCGGCTAGCCCACACCCCAGCTGTTTGGCCTGTGTCTGACGCTGACGTACATCATATGTAAGCGGATCCTATACTCCCTGAAGTTGCAGTATATTCTTACTTGGACACAAATATTTGCAACTTAGGTTATCATTAAAGACACTTTCAGACATTCGTAGGAACACAATAACAAACTTACATGGAACAGACCAATTCAACGCCTGTAATCCTGTTGAAGTGTACCAGTTTAAAGGATCCCGACAATAGTCGGTACATACGTCACTCGCCAGTTTGAATGTACTCCGTGTAAAATTCGATAAATTAATTAAATCCTTCATTTGCCGCTCGTGTTGTATAGGAGCTAAAATTAGATTTAACACGAATGCGGTTTAATATCAGATAAGCCAACTTCGCGTGTCGGGCCAGCCAACGAAAACAAACTTGATTATTGTAATGGACGGGTCAAATTTCTGAAAGAGACGGTTGTGTTTTTGTGAACGAGTTCCTGTTGGTGTTGTCAGTAAAACAGACAGGTTTGTTTTTGTTTCCGATACTTAAACAGTTAACGGCATCAACGGTATGACACGATTTGAATGTTGACCACGTGGACAACACGACAGAGATCTGCTCATCCATAGGGATACGGCCGGGCCCGACTTACGTCACCATCGGTGGACATTAAACCTGTCAACAATGTGTCGACTTTGACATGGAGTATTTCAGGTCTGCACAACATTATAAACTTCATCAGCGATTTCGACATCGTCCACTTATCAGAAAATTGGTCACGTGAAAAACATAATACTGATTTTACCCTTCCAGGATATAAATGCTTTCATTTACCCAGTATTAATCTATTACAGTTTGGACGCGCCTCAGGAGGTATAATATTGTTTATAAGAGATAACATTTATAAATATATCAAATGTGTCCGGTACTTTGAAAATGCTATTTTTACACTGTTTGACAATAATTTGTTCTCATGTGAAAAACATTTATTTTGTATCTTCCCATATGTCCAACCCAAAGAATCAAGATGGAATGACGCTAAGCGTTCGAAAAATGAAATTGACCTCCTCTTAGACTCTTATATTGATTTTACAGCTAACTTTCCACCAGTTGAAACTATACTTTGTTGTGATTAAAATTCTAGAACTGGACGACTTGATGATTATACTGATGATAATTTCAGACATTTAACAGATGATGATGATTTAATAACGGAACTTGTGTCAGATGGTTTTGACAGATCTAGGTTCTCCTCTGACCAGCAAACTAACAGATTTGGAAAATCTGTAATTGGTGCGTGTCGATTATTGAAATTTGCACATTCTAAATGGTCGATGAGATACTGACAAAGAAAAAGGCGATTATATACTGAACCAAATTAAAAACTTCACAATCCTAAAATTTTAACATTTTGACCATTTATCATTGTGGGCCCTTATTGTGTACTTAAACAGTAATGACCACGTATTGTCTTCAGATAACACCCGTTTTTGTGCAGGTGAATCGATCAAAATCATGTGCACAGCACTATAGTGGCAAAAGTGGTTTTTTCACGTGCAACTGGTCACGTGGCCATAATACCGAACGTGTTTTCAGCCATACTTTTAGCAGTCATTAACAAAAAAAGGAAAATACGGCCATTTGTCATGCCACGCCTTTCAAATGTGCAACGTGAACGTGCCATCGGCATGTTGCAGACGGGAACGTCCGTAGCTGAAGTCGCAAGGACGATGGGTTGTAGTCGACGGACTGTTTATGATTTAAAGACGCGTCTACAGCAAACGGGTACCACCGCTGATCGCCCACGGCAAGGTCGACCACGTGTGATGTCACATGCAGAAACTGTTCGAAACCGTCTGAGAACTGCTCACCTTCAAGCACGACGGCCATACTGCGGGCCGATTCTGACTCAATTACACAGACGTCAACGTCAATTGTGGGCACAGCGACACTTACGATGGACACAGAGGAATTGGAATCAAGTCGTCTTCAGTGATGAATCCCGATTTAATCTTCGATTTGCTGATGGTAGGGCGAGGGTGTGGAGGCGCCGTCATGAACGTTACGCCCAGTGTTGTGTACAGGAAGTTGACAGATTTCGAGGCGGAAGTGTCATGGTGTGGGGTGCTTTCTGTGGCAATGCACGTTCCAGGCTTCTTGTCATCCGTGGCAACCTCAACGCTGCTGCTTACCGCGACCTGGTACTGGCACCAGAACTTCTGCCTTTTTATGGCAGCACATGGACCCGGTTTGATATTCCAACACGACAACGCCAGACCCCACACAGCAATTCTGACAAGGAATTTCCTTCAGAATGCGGGTGTCAACGTCATGTACTGGCCGTCAAGGTCTCCCGACCTCAATTCCATCGAACACGTCTGGGATGCTCTTGGCAGAAGTCTGCGCACTCTCCAGAACCAACTACAGAATTTGCAAGATCTTGGCACCATTTTGCAGCAACAAGGGCGTCGTCTTCCCAATCATGTGTTCACAAGCATCACAAGGTCCATGCGGAGGCGTTGTGTGGCAGTTGTCAACGCACATGGTGGCCATAAACGCTACTAAACTTGTTAGCATCAGATTCTCATGCTTGGGACTTATGATTTAAACTGTTGATGTTATTACCGAATACCGTAGGTGCTTGGAACAAATAATGGTTACCACCGTTAATTAAAATCCTTCGGACATTGATTAAAAATTACCTTCTCTGATACATTTGTCCGTTGTATATCATATATGGGATTACTTTTAAAAAATTGAAGTTTTTAATTTGACTCAGTATACATTTGTTGGACATAATGGATGTAGTGTAATTGATTGATGTGATAGTTAATATTTAAGGTGTAAGATTTCTTTCAGTCTGAAGCAGAAAGAGGAAAACCATTTTATGTCATTAATAAATACTTGAAACGAGCTTCTGAAACTCTGGGTATGTCTCAACAAGCTGAAAAATGTATGTTGATGGGTTGAATACCTTTTCTAGATTGCTAGTCCCATGCTTGCCATAAAAGGCGACAGTGCTTGTCGTAAGAGCCGACTAACGGGATCGGGTGGTCAGGCTCGCTGACTTGGTTGATGCATGTCATCGATCCCAATTGCGTGGATCGATGTTCATGATATCAATCAATGGATTGTCTGGTCCAGACCGGATTATTTACAGACCGCAGTCATATAGCTGGAATATTGCTTAGTGCGACGTAAAACAACCAACTCTCGTTAAGAAATAAACATAACATAATTTCATTGTTACAAAATACAAGCAACGGCAACTTTCGCATACATTTAGATACAGAGATAAACGTTGAGAATAGGCCTGCGTTGTGCGAACGATCCGAAATCCTTAGTCTCTCCGGAATCATTATCTTCGAACCATCAAGCAGAAACGTCAAGGATTAAAGCCTGCGTTTCTTGAGGAGACGTCGGAAAATGCCTCACACAGCCAGCAGTCAGTGGGTACCCAGTGGGGATTGGAAGGAGTCTGGGAGAAAGTTACCAATGGGAAGAGGTGAAAGACTTATCGTTCTCCATGCTGGCTGTGCTTGTCTGGATTTTCTCCCAGACTGTTACCTAGTCTTTCGAGCCAAGGACAAGGATCACAACAGAAATGAACGTCAAGGTATTTCTGGAGTGTGTGAAACATAAATTGGTCCCTGCTTTCCCTGCAAAGTCCCTTATTATCATGGACCATATCACAGTATGCAGGATCCCCGACGTATAATAGCCTTTAAAGAAGATATGGTGACGTGGCTGCAACGGATGAATATGACCGTTCCTTCAGGGCTACAAATCCACAACTCCAAGGAATCATCAAATCGAACAAACCTCAGCATGTGTATATGTTTGACAATTACATCAAAGGTCCCCTTACCACTGTCCAAATTGGTTGGGTATCGTCAAATGTGACTTTGGACGATTAAACACAACGTTTAAATTGCTGGTTGTTGTAAAGCTGGTAAATAAATCCCTTGTTCGGGTGACAGTGGAGATATGGCAGCGAGAGAGTCAGGATACTGGTCACGTGATCGACTTCAGCATGCAAGAGTCCCACCAAAAGTTGTGTCCATCAGCAGTGTCAATTTATCCCGACGACGAGGGCTGTGACATGAGCGAGTCAGATTGCGATTAAAATCATCACGAGACGACCCTCAAAAGCTGTACCCTGTACCGTTGTCTAGCACACGCAGTGCGTGTTTATGCTGTTCCTCCTACCGTTGTGCTCCCCTCCGTTCAAGATGTCAACTTGTAGACATAACATGATAGTTTCTTCAACTTTTCCAGTGATGGGAATTAATTACAGATCTTGTCGGGTACAGGGCACTTATTGCCGTGTACCGTATTGGCATTTAATAGACTATTCCCGATTGTGTTTTGCAATTCATTGTTCTCATTGGAAGCCAAACGGACTGAATACATTAATTGTTTCTATAAATCCTTGACAAGTGTATACATTATATGTGAAGCCGCAAAACATCCAGATAAAGGTGACATGTAAAACATCGAGCGTGGGCCGGACAAAGTCGTCGTCAGGTTATAATGACAGGTATTAACCAAAGCCCGCACACCCGCACAACCTATCACCAGTGTGGGCCGTACCAAAGCGTAAAATACATGACCCATTCTGACTCAGGATCCTCAGTGGAGAGCATACTTCATGCCGATGCGAGTAGGGACAAACGTCGCATTCCGTTTTTGTAACGACGCGTCAGGCATTCACCACATCTACCGAGCAGAGTTAATGCTGATCTTCAGACAAAGAACATGGGGCGAATCCTGGTAGAGTTTTGGGGCGCAACAAAACTATTTCTATCGTCCATTTTGTCGCCGTCAGTGTCAAAATGTACCGTTGTACCGTTCACAAATGAATAAGCGAATGAGTGTTCTGACGTTCAACGCAGTCAGTATTTCGGCCTGAAATGAATTAACTCCAACCAGCAGTTCAATCCTCTCCAGTCCGAAGAAGATCCGGGGTAGAATAGGTCTTCAACCCATGCTTGCCATAAGAGGCGACTAACGCAATCGGGTGGTTAGGCTCACTGACTTGGTTGATGCATGTCATCAATCCCAACTGCGTGGATCGATGCTCATCACTGGATTGTCTGGTCCAGAATCGATTATTTTCAGACCGCCGTCATATAGCTGGAATATTGCCGAGTGCGGTGTAAAACCAACCAATCAATCCACTCCCCTATCCACTCTGGCAGGGCAAGATCAACCAGGTCACATTGAAACCATTGATCCGATTCAATGACAGCAAGGGTTACTGGGAATCTTTGCAAAAGGCGACGGCGAATAATTCTTGGAGAGATTCTAAAACATATTTGGAAAAACAATTTGACCGCAGTGTGGCTGGAATCACAACCTTCACTAACAGAAATATCCCCGAGGAAGTTCCGGGTCAGGAAACGTCTCTCGTCACTCATGCTTGTTGTAGCATAAGATTAGCCCTCAGCCACTGGTTTGCCTGGGCAAGAATGTATTATTTGTAGTTGTAGGCCGATGTGATTTAACCGACTACGGTGTAAGGCAACAATCTGCTCATTAACCATTGTAACCAGTTCACCTGCACATTGTATTTGACTAACGGATTTATCTACAGTGCAGTACATGTCCGTCTGAAAATATTTTCACGAAACCAGCACAAAGTTTGCAAGTATTTGAAGTATATTCGAAACTGTTCCAATGAATGTTTTTTCTTATGGGCTGTACTTCATGATTTGGGGCGCCGAAGGTGATGTGTGAGGGTTATGTTTAGAATGTTAATGTTCGTGTGGATGGTCTGCCATGTGTCCACATGTGTCCGCTTTCTGTTGAGTTTTGTTGTCCATAATTTTTGGCAGGGTAAATAAGGCTTCGAGCCAAAAGGCTTGAAGCCCTATTGAATGCGTTCTTGTATGTCTTTTGAGTGTATGTGCATTGAACTGCCAACGGTGGTTCTGCCACTGATGGGGGTTCGGAGTGTATTGGCGAGTGGTTGGGAGGGGAATGTGGTCTCAAACACTGTCGCATATGTCGACATGTTTGTGGTCTGTTTAGGCCTTTTGATTGGTTTGGTTTGTTGTTTAACGCCGCACTCGGCAATATTACAGCTATATGACGGCGGTCTAAATAATCGAGTCTGGACCAGACAATCCAGTGATTGATATCATGAGCATCGATCCACCCAATTTGGGATCCATGACATGTGTCAACCAAGTCAGCGAGCCTGACCACTCTATCCCGTTAGTCGCCTTTTACGATAAGCATGGGTTGCTGAAGACCTATTCTACCCCGGATTTTCACGGGTCTTTGGCCTTTTGAAGCAGAGAGCACATTCGTAGACAGAAAAATGTTTCCTATAGTGGTGTTGTGGTTACAGTTGAAAATGCCAATTCAAAATGCGTGGTGGTTTCTCTTGAGCATGATGTCTTGTTGTATATTAGTTGGCGGTATACTTGATACTTTAGGTTTTAGTTTAGTTTGTTTACTGTTTCAGCGGTGGCTGGCGAGGGGCGATGCGTTTGCTTTGTTATTTAACACCACTCACAGCCTGACGGCAATCGTAACGTCTTTCGGTATGACGCGGGAGGGGACAGAACCCACGTCCTTCCACTCTCCGGGAGACACGATACCACTATACCACGCAGACGGTATACCATCAATACAGCATTCGTCCGGGTAAATGAAACAAACTAACCGTTCACCTGATTTATTGGATGTTTCTGAATCGACTCAACAGATACAAGGTTGTAAATACAAATATCAGCAGCACAACGCCAGATGTCCCAAGCACTGCCAGTTTAACGTTGCGTGTGAAGATCTTCGACTCCCATTGGTGGACGACCGTTAGGCGGCGAGGGCCATCGTGGTTTGCATTCTTTTCTCCTATTGGCATCTTGCCAAATATAGGTCTCCGGCGATCTTCGGGCCGGGGCCTGCGGACATCTTCGGGCCGGGGCCTGCGGACATCTTCGGGCAGGGCCCCGTGGACATCTTCGGGCAGGGGCCTGCGGACATCTTCGGGCAGGGGCCTGCGGACATCTTCGGGCTTCGGTTTCAAATCCGTCTCCGCATCAGTGTGCACGAACGTTGAGTCTTGAAGGACGTAGAACTCGGCTGCTACCATCTGCAGTTCACCTGAAGATGGAAGTGAATAAGGCCAGGATGAACAAAGCCAAGACGTTTCTTTGTCGCCCATTTATCAATGCAGGTGGTCGAGAATTATCAATCAAGTCAGCGAGCCTGACCACCCGGTCGCCTCTTACGACAAGCATGGGTTGCAGACCAATTCTAACCCGAATCTTCACTGGTATTTAATACAACTGGGTCGAGCTGCATGCAATATATATCGTCCATAATTCCATGAACAAATAACACTGCTGAGTACTATTTCTTTACATATGTTTTGATAATACTACTCAGGTTATAAAACTAAAGACAATTAAGACGTTAATATATACTCGACAACAAAAGTTCCTGCGACACCAATATTTTAGTGTATTTTTCAAACAAGTTTAGTTTTCAATATTGTAGTACATGTGTGGAATCAAGTCACAAAAATGCAACTGCTACAGAAAAGAATGCATATCATGCAATAGTTGACTTTTATGCAAGCCCCATGCATTTCACTACCCAAGAATGGGCATAAAAACATGTGCGTTAACGGGATTCCATATGCATTGTTTAGCATGGTGCTGACAGCCACTCAGAAAAACAACAAAATTACGCAATTTTTCAACATTACGAAATGCCACGCCTGTACGAAAATGAGCGTCTGCGAACCATTGGTATGCTTGAAGCAGGATCGAGTCAACGTGATATTGCAAGACAATTTAACGTCCACAGAAACACCATTTGGTGGCATCGTTGGCAACAGACGAATGCAGTCAGAGACCATCCTCGGAGTGGATAATAATCGACATGCCAACTGGATTCGAATTACACCTACGAAATCGATTCCAGCCAGCAACAGTGACTGCAAGAAGCATCCCTGGCCTTCGTCGAATATCTTCACAAACCGTACGTCGTCGCCTCAGATGTGCAGGGATTGTCGCCAGAAGACTTGCCAGACGTCCCATTTTGACAGGAAACCACCGTCAAGCAATTCTACAGTGGTGCAGACAGCATCTCCGCTGGTCGGCCATGCAATGGCGACAAGTTCTTTTCACTGAAGAGTCGTTTTCACCTCAGCCACAGCGATGGACTGATTCGAGTGTGCCGACGTCGATGTGAACGTTACGTCAATCATTGTGTCATGGCAGAAGATCGGTTCGGGGTCGGCAGCGTTATGGTATGGGGTGGGATTACAGCAAGACAGAGGACCCGTTTGATAGTGGTAGAGGGAAATCTCAATGGACAGCGCTACTGCGGCGAAGATGTGTTGCTTGCATCGCAACCAGAGGCGGACAAACGCTGTTGATTTGTAAATTGACACGTTCGTGTTTTTTATGAAATCACGCATTTTCTAAAGTCAGTATGGCAAATTAAACCATTTGAACACTTACAGGAGTCTCATCTGTTGCAAACCGAAATTGTTTCACATATGGTAAAAAACATAACTTTGCACTAAATCTTATTCAATGTCACAGGAACGTTTGTTCAGTATATTTTCATGTTCATTCCTATTGTTTTGGCCAGCACGTACGTGCAGTGAAGACTGAACACACAAATATCCCCTGAAATATTCATGAGCCACAAAGTTTGTGTTCAGAAAAGCTTGCCATGCAATATACGGCGCGTGTTCAAAACATTTATCTGCATCCAGTTGGGGTACATGCGCAATTAGGTCAATACTGCTTCCATTTAATGCCTTTAATTTATTCTGGCATCTGTTGTAACCGATTATAAAAGCCACCTGTTCCACTACTTGACGAGAATCGATGCACGATATAAGACCAGCCATATCTACGTTGTGGTCAAACTTGCAGTACGAAATGTGAAACCAGTGAAAGACTTACCCTGGGGGTTTAAGTCCGATCCTTCTATCTCCGTGTCTCCGGTTGTGGCGTGCACAAACTTGGGAGGTTCAGCGTCACGCTTAAGTCGGGGGAGGTTAGAATCCTCAACTTCACACGTTGACTGGAGATGACGATACAATTAGTTAAATAAACTTACTCATCAACTCCCACGCATTTTCATTTCGGATAACGATCTCACGATCACTCTACTGGAAGTCTTACGTATTATGTATCAAAAATATTTGTTATTCCAATACATCGCAAGAAAATACAACGGGGACCTATCTGTTGGACTTACTGCCATGAAAAACGACTAGAACCCGAATGGTTCGGCTAACACTTCGACAACTTAAGACGCGACTGGCAATGTAGAAAAATAGGAAAATATCAAGTGTTCTTTATGGTGAATTCTTTTCGCCTGGATCCCGGAAATTTCGCCTTCAACATCACGAAAACACCTAATAAGAGCTACAGACCAATGCAAACATAACAAAAAAGGAAAAGTATCTGTCATGTCAATACAGTCTCCATGGTCCCAACGTGCACCTACCCCAATACAGTCTTCTTTGCAGGTCACGAAGCTACACTTAAATCCCACACTCTTCTTTGGGTGCAGACGGAAGACACGGAACGGCGGGCTGACCCCGACCATCTTTATCATCTGGAAACCTTTCTTCCGATCAAACGGGAACCCTGTACCACATCTGCAGACAACCAGGGCATGCCACACATAAGTTATAAGGCAGAACACTATGAGAAAGATGCACATAATTGACGGTTACTGCTGTGATAGTATTAAAGCATGGGTTGCTGAAGATCTAACGGGTCCATGCATGTCATCTTATCCTAATTGCGTAGATCGATGTTCATGATACCACTATATTGTCCGGTCCAAATTCGGTTATTTATAGACCACAGTCAGAGCTGAAGGGGAGCTGGCATTTTATCGAAAAAGAATTGTCACCGAAAAGCCTTGAAAAATAATAATTACACTTCAGAGTGCTGAGAAGTAAAGAAATTGCCTACCACAAATTACATTGCTGCAACGTGTTTCTTTTTTAAGAAATCAGGCTTATATATTTAAATAAAACAAAGAACCTGTTGCTGAAAAATATCGAATCGATAAAAAATCCAGCCACCTCGCCTCTGACGACAGGCATTGCCGCCCCTTACCGTAAACAGATTGCTGAAGACCTATTCTAACCCACATCTTCAATGACCGACATATCTGTCCTTTCGACTTACCCATCAGCTAATATGGCGGAAGACTGCCTCTCATCAGGCGTGACGACGTCACATCGCACTGGCATGAATCCAAGATCCTTCTCTTCCTTCGAAGCTAAGGGATGTCCATTAATGATGGAACTCGCATATTGAATGGTACATTAACAGTATTGCAAATGACATGGTATTATTGCTATTCCGTGCCTCTTCAACCTAATCTACAAAACGCATGCCATGACAGATTAAATATGAAAGAATCGTTTGTTCTTAACGTCTAGTATATTATGGATTGTTGCTCCTCACGAAGAAACTTACATTATCAGCCTGACAAGTTTTATATGCAACTGACCAGACAATCCAAAAAATCAAAGTCATATTTGAACACTATTTGATATGTGCAACGTGTAATCGAACAACTTCATCCCAACAGTTAATTCAGACATACCAGATGCTTTTCACCAAATGATATTCAACTCACGTGACATGGTGACCTTTAACCTGACAATTAGGCCAACCTCGGCCGACTTCAGCTTCTGGCCTTCCATGCCGACGAGTTCGACAGTGTAATTGGAGTTGCTGACCATGCCCTCATGGGTGTCCACTACTTTCGGGGGATGCTTCCTGCAAGAGGCAACACGTACTTAGAGGTTATCACACTTGTGTTTGGGGATGGTAAATATCCTGTATTAGGAATAAACATTGTATTGAGGGAGCCTCTGCGAGCTAAACAGTGTATTCCTGATACAGGATATTTTCCATCGCCAAACACAAAAGTGATAACCTATCATATGTCAATCTTCAATTCTGTGCTCGAAAACTTCGTCTCTCACAAACATTACAAGTTTTCCTGGAATGTGTGCATGAATATATATTACGTCAGAAGGTAAGTGATGTGTCCGTCGGACAGTGACAACAGTCAGTATAGTTCCATCTCAAACCCGTTTCTTTTAGAGAGGCGTAACAGACAAATTGCCTACACTTACATTTCGCAGCCATCAATCGCTATGTCCACTTGAGTAACTGCCCTTTATCAAGTCTATGAGGCGCCCCGTTTGTCTAGAGTGTCTGTCCTATCATAACGTCACGAAGTGCAGTCAGCTGTACACAGCGACAAAGCGAAACAAGGTAACAATTTGTACATATTTCGGTCAAATCCAACTTAATTTGGAGTAAGATATGGAAACTGATTCTGCTGCTGTCGCAAGGCTCGTGTCCTCGTTTAATAGTTTCGCGATTTATATCTCCAAAGTTGACCAAAAAAAAGTAAAGTGCCTTAGCTACGTCAGTTAGATACTGATATTCTGTATATCATACTATTCTTTTGATAATGATAGCAATTATTCAGATTCTATCGCCGAATGACATGGACAACGAAATGTTTGTAAAACACGTCGTCCATACTAGACATTTGATATTTGCATCTATCCGCATATGACCCCAACGGATATCGTTTTTATCCGTTGGCTTTATCCTGCCGAGAAACCTACCCATTATGAGATAATTATCAAGTGGTAGACTTTCCTGGAATCGTAAATATGAATTGCATTCGTGAATTACATGAAACACGCGATGTGTTCATACAAAACCGGAAGTCGGAAGGTCGCCATTTCCTCGCTGGACAGTAAAACTTGTGATGTCATCGATACAACTCCTAAAATCGCCCAATGAAGCTAAATTTTGACACAAAACTGCGTTGTATAAATTAATGTGTTCACGCTGAAAAGAACCCTTTTTTACTCTTCTCTACTGCACCAGAAGACACCAAAAGTAAAGTATTGTATGTTGTTGAACGCCGCACTCAGCAAAATTCCAGCTATATGACGGCGATCTGTAATTAATCGGGTCTGGACCAGAAAATCCAGTGATTGACATGAACATCGGTCTACACAATTGGGACACACCATGCATCAACCAATTCAGCGAGTCTGACCACCCAATCCCGTTAGTAGTCTTACGGCAAACATGGGTTGCTGAAGACCTATTCCACCTCGAACTTTCATTGGTTAAAAGTTAATATTGAAATTATTCAGTGTCGTATATGAATACTAAAACGATTGTGGTATTGACCCCTTCGGTACATGACAAAAGTTAGAAAGGGGTAAAAACTTGCCTAATTCATGCTCATGTGCTCGGGTTTAATCAGTTTTTAACTGTCGAGCGAGAAAATATACTCAGTAACAAAAGTTTAGCAACACCCAAATCTTGAGCATTATTTGAAAATGTGAAAATATCTGAAACGGACTAATGCACTGACTTCACGGAGAACATATCGAACCAACACACCAAGTTACGCTGATTTTTAGTGACATCTTCATTTACACGTGCATTGCATGTGATTTTATTGACATTGGGACTCCCGTGAATCTCGTCACATGAATCGCTATAAAACCTCGATGAAACGTTAGTGGCACTCATTGTTGAAAGGAAAACACTGGACGCTACACGATTGAAATTATGGGTCGACACACAGGAATGCCTGAAAATGCCAGCCATGAAGACATGCTCCCATTGAACACGCCGGGGATATCCCTGGGAGACGTTTAAGAAAGAACCATCCTAACGTCAACAACATTCTTGACCTTGGCCTTGCCCTCCAACAAGCATGGGCAACCATCCCTCTTGGTGAGATCAGGAAGCCCATTAGAGGAATGCGTAAACGCTGTGTGGCGGTACAACAGGCCGGTGGGCGTCACACTCGCTACTGAGGGATAGCAACAGTCATGTGTGAAAATGGTCAACAAACCCCCCATGTCCTTGTGTGATTTTTCCTTATTTCTCCTATTGCTGTCACAACTGTGTCGTACATTCATGAATGTCACATTGAACAACACAATGGTCAAGATAATAAAAACCCAATTTCTGTTGAGTTTTCTTACTTTGTGTATTTCAATACGGTGTTGCTAAACTTTTGTTACTGAGTATAGTTGATACCTTCCGGTTTGGCATGGACAGCGCTTACCTCTGCGCGAAAGCAATGTTTCCATTATATTCGTTCTCATTTCTGGAAGCATATGACTTGAAACGTTCACACAGACTCATGCCCATATTATACTGAGTCAAATTAAAAACTTCACATTTTAAAAAGTAATCCCAGATATGATATACAACGGACAAATGTATCAGAAGGTAATTTTTAATCATTAATGGCCAAAGAAGGATTTTAATTAACGGTGGTAACCATAATTTGTTCCAAGCACCTACGGTATTCGGTAATAACATCAACAGTTAAAATCATAAGTCCCAAGCACGAGAATCTGATGGCACACAAGTTCAGTAGCGTTTATGGCCACCATGTGCGTTGACAACTGCCACACAACGCCTCCGCAAGGACCTTGTGATGCTTGTGAACAAATGATTGGGAAGACGCTATTGTTGCTGCAAAATGGTGCCAAGATCTTGCAAATTCTGTGGTTGGTTGTGGAGAGTGCGCAGACGTGTTCGATGGAATTGAGGTCGGGAGACCTTGACGGCCAGTACATGACGTTGACTCCCGCATACTGAAGGAAATTCCTTGTCAAAATTTCTGTGTGGGGTCTGGCAGTGTCGTGTTGGAAGATCAAACCGGGTCCATGTGCTGCCATAAAAGGCAGAAGTTCTGGTGCCAGTACCTGGTCGCGGTAAGCAGCAGCGTTGAGGTTGCCAAGAATGACAAGAAGCCTGGAACGTGCATTGCCACAGAAATCACCCCACACCATGACACTTCCGCCTCGAAATCTGTCAACTTCCTGTACACAACACTTGGCGTAACGTTCATGACGGCGCCTCCACACCCTCGCCCTACCATCAGCAAATCGAAGATTAAATCGGGATTCATCACTGAAGACTCGATTCCAATTCCTCTGTGTCCATCGTAAGTGTCGCTGTGCCCACAATTGACGTTGACGTCTGTGTAATTGAGTCAGAATCGGCCCACAGTATGGCCGTCGTGCTTGAGGGTGAGTAGTTCTCAGACGGTTTCCAACAGTTTGCGCACTCAGTCTACCCCTAAACAGTTCATGTCTTGTTGATGTAGCCGTCAAAAAGCGGTTACGGAGGTGACGTAAGACAATCTGACGATCCTCTGCATGTGACATCACACGTGGTCGACCTTGCCGTGGGCGATCAGCGGTGGTACCCGTTTGCTGTAGACGCGTCTGTAAATCATAAACAGTCCGTCGACTACAACCCATCGTCCATGCGACTTCAGCTACGGACGTTCCCGTCTGCAACATGCCGATGGCACGTTCACGTTGCACATTTGAAAGGCGTGGCATGACAAATGGCCGTAAAGACTTTTGTTTTCTTGTGTTTTTCTTTTTTGTTAATGACTGCTAAAAGTATGGCTGAAAACACGTGCGGTATTATGGTCACGTGACCAGTTGCACGTGAAAAACCACTTTTGCCACTATAGTGCTGTGCACATGATTTTGATCGATTCACCTGCACAAAAACGGGTGTTATACGTGGCCACTACTGTTTAAATACACAATACGGGCCCACAATGATAACTGGTCAAAATGTTAAAATTTTAGGATTGTGAAGTTTTTAATTTGGTTCAGTATATTTCAAAGCTACTCACACGTCAATAAGAGGGACGCTTTCCTCTTTCTCTTCCTTGTAAGTCTCGAAGTTGCATTCCATCAGAAACTTCTCATCTTCATCACTCTCGAAGACTGGGCTTCCACGACGAGACAGGACCTCGATACTATAGATATGTCGGTGAGGCATTTTCTAGAAATACAGGAAATGCCGTGATTGTGTACTATGGATAAATCAGTCTAAAAGAATATTATCGTTTTCAGCTCACCTGACTGAAAGTCAAGTGAGATTACGTCGTTGCCTTTTTGTCCGTCTTGCGTCTCAAACCTAAAGACCAATGAAGCTGAAATTCCACATGCGTCTTCCGAACAATGCTGTATTTACGAGGTTCGTATCTGAGTTACCAAAGTAGGCATTGTGGGGGAAAAAGGGTATTTATGGCAATTAAAGTCATAGCCGTCATATTTTTGGCATTTGTATCATTTTAAAACACGTCCCATTTATGGCGATATTTTAAGTTTTGACCTTGTTTTGACATGCTCTTACATATTTCAAATAAACCATTCTATTTTAGTTTTTTTAAATATCCATGGCGAAAGCAACTTTTTCTTTGTTGATGTTCTCGGTTGACTACACATCCGGATCTTTATTTTAATGACGGAACTTTCGTAAAAAACGTCTTACAAAGTGATAATATGGACATTTTGATGTAAATTTTAATATATACAAGTATAATTTTTTTCAGTATTTGGTGGTTAGGGATTTCATGTCAGAACTAAATTTGTTATATACATGCAATATTGACATCAACCAAGAAAGTGCGTAAAAAAATAAAATGAGTATGGTTTTACGCCGCTTTTGGCAATATTCCAGCAACTAGACGGCTCGATATCTGACTAACCATGAGCAAATCTTTTCTGAAAAAATGTCCTCGTATCGTATATCGTGCATTATTACCTCTCCATTGATATCCGAGGTATCGTATGGGCAAATCGACCGGGACAGAAAGACGACTTGTGTACATTGCAAAATATCAAGAAAGGTGTCACAATCAGTTCGTAAAATGTACTTAAAACGTTGTGTAGCATCAACTCTCAAATTCGAAAACGGCGACATTATTTTTCATCCCGAGGCAAGAAGTCCAGTTTCCAAGCTTAACTAGGATGGAATTATGGAGTTACAATTTGGCTGGACTAACGAGCCTATGCATAGTCCAATCAAAATCCCGTGACGAAATCGACATCCGGTTCATAAACATGGCAACCGCCGTGCCGAATTAGTTCAATGCCGGATTTGCAGAGCATGTGTATCGTCAACTGGGCGCCGACAGATATTCTCTAAATCTTTTAAAGTTTAAATCAAGGTGCTTTAGTGATTTGATGCACTTCGCGAGGATTTTGTTTTGTTTGTTCCCTAACAATGACGGCTGCCTGTAAATAAACGAGTCTGGACCGGACAATCCAGTGATTGGCATCATGAGCATCGATCAACGCAAGTGGGATACGATGACATGCATTATCCAAGTCCGAGCCTGACCACCCGATCCCGTCAGTCACCTCTTACGACAAGCATAGTCGCCTATTAGGGCAAGCACGGGTTGCTGAAGACCTATTCAATCCCGGATCTTAATGGTTCTTCGCGAGGTCAAACCCGTTTTATAACAAAAAAGATCTTTATTATCGTCTTAACTGGGAGCCGTAATTTACTATGAAGCAAATGCAAGATATATGAGAGGTGGAATCTGATCAGTATGGGGATAAAGTAGGGACAATTCGTAATAGCAACTGGTGGCGCTGGAATCTAGCCCAGAAATTCCAGCCTAGTTTGGCAAGTGTGGAACTGGACTTAAGTAGTCAGTGAACTCCCTTGCCTGGGGAAGATGCATATTTTAGCACTATCAATCATACGTACCGTCATGACGCATTTGTCGCCCCTTCCGGTAAATGCGACATCGAGGCTCCACGTCGCCTTGGCAACATCTTGTTTGAACGCACAGCTCTTGCCATTGCGCATGAATGCCGAGACGCGGATGCTGTCCCCGAAGTAGTTTATCTTGGCGGTGTTGTCCTTCAGTCTCCCGCACGTTATGTTAACTAGAACAGTAGGCCCGAGAAGATCCGGGTTTGAATTGGTCTTCAATTGGCAACCCATGCTTACCATAAGAGGCGACTAACTCGCTGACTTGGTGCTTGTCATCGTATCCCAATTGCGTGGGTCGATGATCAGGTTGTCAATCACTGGATTGTCTGGCCCAGACTCCATTGACAGACCGCTGTCATATAGCCGAGTGCGGCGATAAACGACAAACTCTGAACAATAAAAAAACTTCGTTGAACGCATGTCAACCAAAGGTCCATGTTTCAATTATCGGGCTGGTGCTTGGACTTCAGTGACCAGCTAACTGAAACTTTCTTTGGGACATGACTAAGATCTAAATTGATAGTTAACATGTCATAGACGACTGTTATAGAAGCCTGTTCCAGATCACATACTATCAAATTATATAATGCAAATAACTGCAGTTATCACATGTGAAACAAAGGCTATTGCATATCCACCAATCACTGCCCGACATATGCTTTAATTTTAAATTGTCTTTGTTTATCGCCGCACTCCGCAATATTCCAGCTCTATGACGTGTCCGTAAAAAATCAGACAATCCAGTAATTGACATGAGCATCCATCCACGCAATTGGAATACGTTGAAAACGTAGTAGTCGAGCCCGATCACCCGATCCCGTTTGTCACTTCTTACAAGCATGGGTTGCTGAAGATATACTAACCCGGATCTTAATGGGTCACATATGTAACAATGCTTCCTGTTATGTGAACGAGTCGCAATAAGTACGCGATAACACTTCATGGATATGAAATTCTGTCGACTGAAAATATTCAAGTTTAAAATATTCAACATTTCGCGCGTTAATACCATAAAACAAAGCTGCGCTGCTGCGACTAAATTCGTTTGCGCAGTCGCGCGCAGCAGTTTTGAAGTATTCCAGCCATATGTCACGGTCATCAGTAAACAATCTAGTCTGGACCAGGCGATTCAGTTTCTGAAAAGCATGCCCAAATATCCACAACGTTGGGTTGTGATGACAGAGCAATGTCAATCCTCGCTAACCCATTCCCATTTTTTGTCAGCTCACGAGCACGGGGCATTGGGGACCATTCCTGGCCCAGGTTCCGTACTGGGTTTCGACAACGAGCAATGGCGAGTGTCACCTGGTGAAGCACATGGGTAATGATGTACTACTTACCCTGGCCGGGCTCCAGACGCTGACAGGACAAGGAGCCAAATCCAACCTGAAATAGAAATATCAATTTGCCGGTTTACGCCAATTTTTTTATCCAAATTGGAAAAGTCACATAGACAAAGTTATTAATGAATACAGTTGTATTAGAGTCAATGTGTTCCCGTACTCACCGACAGAAGAAGGAAAATAACCGACCTCATTGTTTGACAGTCCAAGGTCACCCTGAAAATATAAAACAGTTAATGTCACCGATAGGCCCGATTTAATTTTCTAACGCCGCACTCAGCAATATTACAACTGTATGGCGGCGGTCTGTAAATAATAGAGTCTGGACCAGAAAATCCAGTGACTGACATTAGCATCAATAAGGGTACGATGAATTGAAACAGCACGAATCTTCACGGAAAAGGCGTGCACGCTAGTACGTATTTTGGGTCAACTTTTTTAAATAGCAGATTTACGTTTTAATGGTCATCTGTACTGTTTTGCGTCACAATATTTGTCACGGTTGTCCGTAAACATCTAGTCTGAGCCAGGCAAACCCTTTTCTGAAAGCATGACCGACAATCCTCGCCGTCGGGTTGAAATGACAGTTAAATTTATTAAAAATAGAATTACGAGTTTGACATTTAATATAAATCGCTTGATGTGGATAAAGTGTGTGTGTAGGGGTGGGGAGGTGAGGGCACAGCAAACTATGACGAGTCCCAAGACCCCCACCCCATAATATAAACCAATGCCTTAGTAGGACGTTATGAATTCAAGAATCAGCTGCTGTATATTGATGACCATGCAGTGGATATCGGATGTTGAAAGTCGTGCAGTACAAAGCTACGATGTGACAGCAACACTATAGCTGTAACTTGTGAGTAACTTTCACTCACTCTGCTGGGAAAATACAACGCCCCTGTTGAACACAAAGTCTCTCTGGCAGTTGGGAGACTCAAGACAATTTTTACAACTCGCGTTATGAGCAACGAAAAATATCTTTCACTCTTGTATGGGCGCGTTTGTCTCACCTGTGCTGGATCAAGCCGACTGCACAACTATTTTGCGCAACAGGGGTAATACACGAGCCTTTGCAGGGATGTTCCGTTTAGGCGCTGCAATAACGTGGCCGTGAACTCTTCGGCACATTGTCCAACTATTATAAGTCCAAGTAGACTATTAAAGCGTGTGGTGGTTTTGCTACTTATGACAAATCTAGAAACTAAGCAAACCTTCATTATGGGCAAGGTGTAAATTGGCCTAGTTGCCTGAACACCTATAAAACTTTTAAAGATCAATCAAAATCCAAGTAAACTGTTACAATTTCAAGTAAAGTAGAATGTTATTGTACCTGTCATCAGAGAGTTTAGTTGATGGTCGAAGTGTGGCTGAATATTGCCGATGCGACTTTCGATATTTTCCTGTCAATCCCGTGAAGATTCCTGTTTAAGATTTGTCTTCAGCAACCCATGCTTGTCGTAAAAGGAGACCAACCGATGTCTCATCATTTCACATCTTAGTTCTCGTTACCGCTACGCAAAGATGTCCTGAGGACATCCCATTATGGGTCTACCTCTTGCTTCAATGGGACAAACATTTGAGCGAAACCATTTGAACAGCTTTGTCAAAATAGTTTTCAAAGCTTGTCTGGATTGGAAGTTGTCGGTTTGAAACTTATGCAGTCTAGCTCCTGAAAGCTGCTTTCTGATTGGCTAATGACGACTTCTTGTTAGTCATTTCAGTGGTCGGTCAAAGTTCGCGAAAGGTCGTTCTGACATGACCCGTCATGGGATGACCTCAGATCTGTGTGCAGCCGTAGCGAGAACTAAGATCTGAGTAAATGAGATTACAAACGGGAAAGGTAAGTCTGGTTTGCTGATGCAGGTAAGTGTATCCTAACTGCGTAGATAAATTCTCATTATGTCAATCACTGGATTGACTGGGCCATTATGTACAGAGCGCCGCCATATAGCTGGAATACTTTTGAGTCCGGCGTTCAACAACAAACACACTTAAACAAAACTTTCCTCTCCGTTAGAAATACCATTAACATTCATTATCGAATTTGGCAAGTGGCGGACTGAAATTGTTTTAGGCTTGTGTGCAATTTACTGCCATTTTCTGTGACTGGTGTGTTTGTTATCACCTTACATACCTATCTTGAGGTGAGGCATGGAAATTTTGAGCCTCTATTTAGTCAAGTCCAACATGGGATTGCTTTCCAATTCAACACTGTAGATAATGAAAACCTCGTACCTATCGCTCATTCCCCAAACACACATCACTCTCTGTCCCAGATTTGGGAACATCCAAACAAAAACACGGAATCACTTCATTAATCCCATTCACACTTAGAAGCATTCGCCAAAACGAAACCCATGATGTTTTTATGAAAGCTTTGTTTTGATTGGTAAATTTCGAAAGCACGATCTTCACGGAACCACCACCAAAATCCAACGACAACCACAGCATCGCGTCATGGAAGCTTTACGAGGTAAGTCTTCATCCAGCCACGACAACATGAATCTGACAAAGGACATCTATATACAACCGCTTACATGCTTAGGAGTACGACGTTACCTATCCTCCAATGTCTGTCCATTATTATAACTGTTTATTGTGATGGATGCAATTAAAATCGTGTTGATATATGAAGATAGACAAGTCCTTTGGAAAATGAGGTACAACCGTAACCAAAACCAAAACACGTGCGCCATTTGTGTATGTTTTACTTTCGTAGCTCATACAAATCTTACGAATTATGGTTGGTTTGTTGTTTAACGCCGCACTCAGCAATATTCCAGCTATATGACGGTGTTTTGTAAATAATCGAGTCTGGACAAGACAATTCAGTGATTGACTCATCCTCACTACCCCACCATGCCACATCCTCGCCACCTCGCCATCCCACCATGCCACATCCTCACCATCCCACCATGCCACATCCCACCACCCCACCATGCCACATCCCACCACCCCACCATGCCACATCCCAACATCCCACCATGCCACATCCCACCATGCCACATCCCACCACCTCACCATGCCACATCCCACCACCCCACCATGCCACATCCCACATCCCACCATGCCACATCCCACATCCCACCATGCCACATCCCACATCCCACCATGCCTCATCCCACCACGCCACATCCCACCACATCACCATGCCACATCCTCGCCACCCCTGCATGCCACATCCCACCACATCACCATGCCACATCCTCGCCACCCCTGCATGCCACATCCCACCATCCCACCATGCCACATCCCACCATGCCACATCCCACCACACCACATCCCACCACCCCACCATGCCACATGCCACATCCCACCACACCACATCCCACCACCCCACATCCCACCACCCCACCATGCCACACCCCACCATGCCACATTCCACCATGCCACATCCCACCACCCCACCATGCCACATCCCACCACCCCACCATGCCACATCCCACCATGCCACATCCCACCACACCACATCCCACCACACCACATCCCACCACCCCACCACACCACATCCCACCATGCCACATCCCACCACACCACATCCCACCACCCCACCATGCCACATCCCACCATGCCACATCAAACCACCCCACCATGCCACATCCCACCATGCCACATCCCAACACCCCACCATGCCACATCCCACCATGCCACATCCCACCACGCCACATCCTCGCCAACCCCACCATGCCACATCCTCCCCTCCCCTGCATGCCACATCCCCAACCACCCCACCATGCCACATCCCACCATGCCACATCCCACCACCCCACCATGCTGCATACCACCACGTCACTATGCCACATCCTCACCACCCCACCATGCCACATCCCACCGTTCCACCATGCCACATCCCACCATGCCACATCCCACCATGCCAGATCCCACCACCCCACCATGTCACATCCCACCATTCAACATCCCACCACCCCACCATGCCCCATCCCACCACCCCACCATGCTGCATACCACCACCCCACCATGTCACATCCCACCATTCAACATCCCACCACCCCACCATGCCACATCCCACCATGCCAGATCCCACCACCCCACCATGTCACATCCCACCATGCTGCATACCACCATCCCACCATGTCACATCCAACCATTCAACATCCCACATCCCCACCGTCCCACCATGCCACATCCCCACCGTCCCACTATGCCACATCCCACCACCCCACCATGCCACATCCCACCACCCCACCATGACACATCCCACCATGCCACATCCCACCACACCACATCCCACCACCCCATGCCAAATTCCCACCGTGCCACATCACCACCGTCTTACCATTCAACATCCCACCACCCCACCATGCCACATCCCACAACCCCAACATGCCACATCCACACCACCCCACCATACCAAATTCCCACCGTGCCACATCGCCACCGTCTTACCATACAACATCCCACCACCCCACCATGCCACATCCCACCACCCCAACATGCCACATCCTCACCACCCCACCATGCCAAAGTCCCACCGTGCCACATCACCGTCTTACCATTCAACATCCCACCACCCCACCATGACACATCCCACCATGCCACATCCACCACCCCACCATGGCACATTCCCACCGTGCCACATCACCACCACCCCACCATGCCACATCCCACCATGGCACATCCCCATCTTGCCACATCCCACCATGCCACATCCTCACCACCCCACATCCCACCAGATCACTATGCCAAATCCTCACCATCCCACCATGCCACATCCCATCACCCCACCACGCCACATCCTCACCACCCAAACATGCCACATCCCACCACCCCAACTTGCCACATTCTCACAACCCCACCATACCACATCCCACAACCCCACCATACCACATCCTCACCACCCCACATCCCACCAGATCACTATGCCACATTCTCACCACCCCACCATGCCACATCCTAACCACACAAACATGCCACATCCTCACCACACAAACATGCAACATCCTCACCACCCCACCATGCCACATCCTCACCACCCCATCATGCCACATCCCAACCCCATCATGCCACATCCTCACCGACCCACCATGCCACATCCCTCCACCCCACTGTGCCACATCCTCACCAACCCACCGTGCCACATCCTCACCACCCCATCATGCCACATCCCACAAACCCATCATGCCACATCCTCACCAACCCACCGTGCCACATCCCTCCACCCCACCGTGCCACATCCTCACCACCCCACAACCCCACCATGCCACATCCTCACCAACCCACCGTGCAACATCCTCACCACCCCACCGTGCAACATCCTCACCACCCCACCGTGCCACATCCTCACCACCCCACCGTGCCACATCCTCACCACCCCACCATGCCACATCCCCACCACCCGACCATGCCACATCCCACCACCCCATCATGCCACATCCCACCACCCCACCATGCCACATCCCACCACCCCATCATGTCACATCCCACAAACCCATCATGCCACATCCTCACCAACCCACCGTGCCACATCCTCCCCACCTCACCGTGCCACATCCTCACCACCCCACAACCCCACCATGCCACATCCTCACCAACCCACCATGCCACATCCCACCACCCCACCATGCCACATCCTCACCACCCCACATCCTCATCACCCCACAACCCCACATCCTCACCACCCCACAACCCCACATCCTCACCACCCCACAACCCCACATCCTCACCACCCCACATCCCACCAGATCACCATGCCACATCCTCACCATCCAACCATGCCACATCCTCACCACCCCACCATGCCACATCCTCGCCACCCCATGATGCCACATCCTCACCACCCCACCCCACCATGCCACATCCAACTACCCCACCATGCCACATCCAACTACCCCACCATGCCACATCCAACTACCCCACCATGCCACATCCAACTACCCCACCATGCCACATCCAACCACCCCACCATGCCACATCCAACCACCCCACCATGCCACATCCAACCACCCCACCATGCCACAACCCCACGATGCCACATCCCACGATGCCATATCCCACCACGCCATATCCCACCACGTCACCATGCCACTTCTCACCACCCCACCATGCCACATCCTCACCACCCACCACGCAACCTTGCCAATCCCCACCGCGCCACCCCGCACCACACCAGATTCCACGACATGACACCGTTATACCACAACTCACTCCATGGTACATCCGACACCCTGCCACGTAACAGTGGGTAGCACAGTGGTTATAGCGTTCGCTCGTCACGTCGAAGATCAGGGTTCGATTCACGACATGGGTTCAATGTGTGAAACCAATTTCTGGTGTCCCCCCGCCGTAATATTGCTAGAATATTGCTCAAAGCGGCGTAAATTATCCACTCAACTCGCCTATCCACCCACTCGCCCACCATGCACTCGCCAATCATGCACTAGCCACCTGACGGCCCCGCCAGAACCCGTGTTAACCCACTCGCTGTGCTTGTTGTAAGCACAATCGTTCCTCATCTGTTTCCTCACCAATGTTTTACCCTCAGTGACGTCGTATGTACACTACTTTTAAGAAGTTGGAAAAAAAACCACCCGACAAAAGTTAATCTGTCATGGCTTGTGGGTATTGCAACACATACCCTTCAAATTGTGGGTGCTCAAACCCAGGGGGTTGATTTTGATTGGGTATCCACAATTTTTAGAGGGTATTCAAATTTGTTTTATCCACCTTTTTCTTGACATTTGGGTATTTTAATGTGAAAACATGTTATAAACCCTGTAAGTCATTTAAAACTTTGTGAATAGTAGTATACCCGTCTGCGACTGCTTGAGGCGCCTTCTCTGGGAAGCCATTTTTGTTTTCAAAACCTGGCATTGTAAGGAAGGCGTTGTTTCTTTAATCACCAATCAGCGACTGTTCAAGAACATGAATATTGACTTGGCACGGGGTGCTTTTTCATTGGCATCTATCAGTATGTTTGTCGCTTTTCCGAATCTAACTGTCGGTAAGTGAACTTCGATCGGCTGGAACACAATAATTTTATCCAACAGTTGTGACATACGCAACCGTTTTGATGTAATCGTTGTAATATACACATTAATTTTATTTCAAGAGTGTATTTTTGGGGGCGTATTTGATACGCTAGGGATTAATTTGTCTGCGTATTTCAGTTAAGCTGCGTATTTGCGTTAAATACGCACTAAATTATCTCGAGTTCTGGTATAATTACCGTGTCATATTTTCATTTGCAGGTGTTCTCACACTGACGGTCGTCGCCTTGACCTTGGTAGGTTCACAATTCAAGGCCACATTGCATGACATGTTTATGGCTCGAATGCAAGACCAAGGACTCCTTTTTGTTATGTGATTTTGCTATCCTTTCTTCAGTTGGCTATGGTGTTGTAATAATTCCATGTCTTAGATTCCACACAAGATATTGATGAATTTTGTCAATTTTAAAGAAACATGTTTGTGAATGTATCGGCGTAAACACGTTAACCGTTGTTTCTAAGAAACAAGGCCCAGAAACGTGTTGAAACTGTTCTAAGGTAGCTGCAGCGGTCGGGTAGCCTTGTGGTTAAAGGTTCAAGCGTTCGCTCATCACAACGAAGACCCGGGTTCGAGTGCCCACATGGGTACTAAGTTTGAAGCCCATTTCTGGTGTTCCCCAACGTGATATTGATGGATTATTGCTAAAAGCGGCGTAAAACCGCACTGATTCGCTCAAGGTTGCAGACCGCCTCCGTGGTCTAGTGGTAGAGCATCCGCCCGGAGAGCGGAAGGTCCGGGGTTTGATCCCCGGCCGCGTCATACCAAAAGACGTTAAAAGATGGTACTTATTGTTAAACTGTCTGGCTCTCGGCATTAAGGGGCTAAAACAAGGACTGATCGGCTCGGAGTCAGTATACTGTGTCAGAGTGGGTTATTCATGTTAAACTGCGGCGTGGTATCTCATGGCATCTCACTATACATCGGCATCAGTCCATCACTAGTACAAGCACGTGCATGCACGTCGCCATATAAGTGCAATAATCTTGGACGCGACGTTTAACCCCATTTCACCTCACCGCACCTCAGAGGTGCAGAGTTGCGTCCCTTGAGCACGCCAGAAACCTTTGATTGTGGGTTGGAATCCCGGTTCGCCCCGATTGTTTCTCGGTTTGTCAGCATCATACCCGTGCTCGTGAGTTTCTGAGACCTGCATCACTTCGGGCTTTCCACATTTAGCTGACACGCCGTGATATAACTGTAATACTGTTAAAAGCGGCATTAAACCCAACTCACTCACTGGTATTGAGGGGATAAAACAAGGACTGGTCGGCCTGGAGTCGGTAATTTCAGTCGTGTATCCATGTTGGGCTGGAATGTATCTCAGTGGGTTTGCCCATAAACCGGCGTAAGCAGACACACACATGTATACACGTCGCACTATGAGTACAATATTCTTCAACCGCATTTCACCTCACCTCACCACCGTTCCTTCCATACCAAGCCTTGACGTAACTGAAATACTGTTTAAAGGAGGGTGAAAACGAACTCATGCCAGTTGCATGAGGGGCCACGGGTGGCCCAGTCGGAGTTGCGTCCCTTGGACACCCCTGAAACCTATGATTGTGGGTTCGAATCCCGGTTCGCCCCGGTTATGTTTCTGGGTTTGTCAGCACGCTACCCATGCTCGTGGGTTTCACCGAGGTGGTAAACGTCTGAGACCTGCATCACTTCGGGCTTTCCTCACACATTAAGCTGACACGCCACTCACTCACCCAGTTGCATGAAGCCACTTTGATCAGCACCCCCACGAAACATAGGTATATTACTCAAAACATGACGTTTGTGTCCAATATTTATATTACTTTACGAATATAACAAACATGTAGTTTTTTTCTTTTCCTTTGTTTGGAAGGAAGGGCTGGTATTACGAAGAAACTTAACTATTGCGTGAAGAAACACACAACTGAAACTAGTCTTATATCACCAACCACACTGAAGACTGTTAAGTTTGGCAAATTAAACTTACACAATGTTCGTCGGTATTATCAACCAAATGCCAAAATTATCTAAATGTTTTGATCTTATAGATTGTGCAGGAAAGCTATGGTCGACTAGACTACATATCCAGTGGTGAGTATAAACGGCTCGATCCCCCGGGGGGAAGGGGGCGTTAAACCAAAAACAAAAAGACGTTAAAAGCTGGTACTTCTTGTTACCCTGCCTGGCACTGGGATTTAAAGGGCTAAAACAAGAACTGATCGGCTTGGAGTCGGTATACTGTGTCTGGGATATCCATATTAAACTGCGGCATGGTATCTCAGTGGGCTCGCACTATAAAATGGGCATCAGTCCGGACTAGCGCACACGCATACGCTCACGCACTCGCACTCCCACTCACGTCGCTATATAAGTGCAATAATCTTGCACGCGACGTTAAACACCATTTCACCTCACCTTTACGAAGTGTTAAACGTCAGGGACCTGCATCACTTCGGGCTTTCCTTCCACATTAAGCTGACACCCGTGATACAAGTGGACAGTTGCCCCCCTAGATTTTTTTTTATAGAAAACCGTTCAAAGAAACTATGCCAACCATTTTAATGATCAGACACAGGTCCTCTTGAACTAACCGTTATTTAATTAACGACCGTGGTTAACTGTAATATTGTTTCTTTGAAAGTAAGTCATTCTTGCCCCATCTTAAAAAAAACATATCTCCATAGTGTCGTCCACATGTCCCGAAAATGGCGACAACGTTGCCAATCTTAGCGTGTTGACGGATCTGGTGGATGCTCAGCCGTATGCCGTGTGCCAAGGTCGACGTACATTCCTGTTCTTCAAAGTCGGCGCCGGGAAATGGGGACTACGTGGTCACCTTACGGGCGACCCATTGAAGGTGTGCGTCTTCAATGTAAGTATAAGAGAATAATGGCACATCTTCTCCAGGCAAGGGAGTAATATTCCAGCTGTATGACGGCTGTCTGTAATAATCTACTCTTGCTCAGACAATCCAGTGATAATATCATGAACATCTATCTACGCAAATTTGGAGACGATAACATGCCTAAACAAAGTCAGCGACCACCTGGTCCTGTTTTTCGCCTCTTGCGACAAGCATGGGTTGCTGACGGGTCAGATCGGCTAGCGCTGAGTTCAAATCCCAGCCCAGCCCAAATCAACCGTGCTCGCGAGTTTCACTGAAGTGATAATGTCTTGGGCCTGCATTTGTTTGTTTTTCCTTTCCAAATTAAGCTGGTAGAACTCCTACACATCTTCAACCGGCATGAACCAGATTCGTTCATCTTATTGCAGAGAAAGGATGACAGTAGAACGTATGTTCTCCACGTGTACGTCCCTCTCACGGGCGGCATCATTATCAGCGGGGAGGCACCGAAGGTCATCACCTGCACCTACGACAACTTCGGCGAGCGCGAAAGCCCGAAATCGACATTTTCAAACAGGTAGGTAATTCAGTGAGCATTGAAACAAGATTTTAATTTCAAAAGGGCGGAACGTGATAGTCTGATAATATCGTTCGTAGTAAATTACGATATCCAAGTTTTTTTGACGTAATATCGACGCTTAGAAAGGCCAATGCCTATATAACGACATGTTTGCAGAGCTAAATTGGCAGTCCAAGCGAGTTTGATTCAACTGTCACAACCTTGACTGTCTGATTTTTCAGTTTTTGTTTCAGTCTTAGTTATTTCTTATCCTTTTCTACGTGAAAACAATTCCTCAGTGTCACAAGACATTTCAGGGTCTACACTTGGATTGGAGACTGGGGCCCCGACTGTGGACCACCCCTTTAAGCTGACAGGACTTGATATAATGAGAACATTGTTCAAAGACGTTCAGTGTTAGCTTCTTGGAATGTATGCTGCATCATATTTCCTTTTCACCAATATAATGCCTTATCTTCTGTAGCAAGCAGCCACTGGAGGGAATTCTGTCCAACAAAGGGAAGGAAGCCAATTCGACAATTGACATGTACCTTTCTGATGTCCAAAACAAGAGACTTGTTGGCAAAATTCGAATGGGACGATATATTCAACTACAAGCAGAGCTTCTCGGTGGGTTATGTGTATTCGAATCTTTCGTCATCAGTATGAAATTCAGTTAGTCCTCGTGAGGCTCAGAGCCAGCGGCTTTAGTCGAGGAATTTCCTGCTCACTCGTGTCATACTGCGACAAGCCGCTTGATGCCTTTTTTATTTCAAGTAGCGGCACTGGCAATTGCCGATGGGGGTGATTGGTTCTATGTGACGCGGATATGGTCCAGTTTCATTCCTATTGACAAGAATTGGGGACATTTGAAATTGATATAATAATCATCGATCCACGCAATCGGGATACGATGACATCCATCAACCAACACAGCAAGCCTGACCACCCGATTCCGTTCGTCGCCTCTAATAACAAGCATAGTCGTGTATGGGTTGCTGAAGACCTATTCTAACCGGAAGGTTCACGAGTCCCCTGTGGGTGTGACAACCGGCGAAATGGGCACGGCTGGTCACGTTGGTCCCACTGATCATTAGCTGGTTTGCCTGGTTTATAGGCAGTGATAACAATAATTGTGATTCCCATGTTGGTTCAATAACTTTGTCACCTGTGCACACCTTGCACCTTCACCGCGAGCCAGAACCTCCTACTCATCTGGGCTTTGATATGGCCTGCTATGCATTGATCAATAACTCAGATCATTTTCTCTCAACAGGAAACTATACCGACGAAGTTGGCCTACAGGCAATAGGGTGCTATGTCAAGGGAAGGTTTTCCAATTACTACGTTCTTATAGCAGGGTGAGTGATCTTTTCTTGAGCCTGTGTGATTAATGTCAATGGTCGACTGCTTACAGGCCAACCAGTGGCCCGTCTTGTTTAGAAGTCCCACGCACCCGACCCGTGGAGATCCGGGCTAGAATAGGTCTTCAGCAACCAATTTTTTTCACTTTTCTGCACACTTAACATTTAATACCGGCTAGCATAAAGTTATAGCAGTAGTTTTAGCAGAATATTGCATGACATGTCTTCATTGTCTAATAATCGTCCTTATTATGATCCATGGTTTGACAGTTCAGTACCAGTGTTCATTGCAACGTCAAGGGCCTGTCACTTCAGGCTTGTCTTGTCTAAGCTTAAACATCGTGAGGTACTTGAAGTAACACGCGACCATGCCTGACCATGATTGACCATGATTGAAATTGTGTTGCTTTTAGCTGCGGTGACGGGATGATTATCAAGAAGACCGATGGCTTTACCACCAAAGGCCGGAGGACCGCAAGCCCTTACTTCAAGGCTTTTAAATTGGTCGGGACTCAAACATTGGACTTCCGCTGTACCTTTGTAATCTGTGCCAAAAATTGCGATGGGGTGAGTTATTTCCCTTTCACACGACTCAAGTTCTCTTGCTAGGCTCACCAATCTCATTAAAATCAGATCTAAGTTCTCGCTGCCGCTAAACAAAGATCTGAGGACATCCCATTACGGGTCACGTCAGAAAGACCTTTCGCGAACTTTGACCTACCACTGAAATGACTGACAAGAAGTCAACATTGGCCAATTAGAAAGCAGCTTGCTCGAGCTTTACGGCACTCGTTTCAACCTGGCGACTTCAGATTACGCTTGGAAAATATGTTGACACGGTTCTCGATTAAAATTTTGAAAACTGAACAAACGAATATTCCGGAATGTCTAATATATGGTTGCGATTGCATGGCAGTGCTTCCCACGTACTGTGCAACGCCTTTTCCGTTTAAATGTTTATCTGTTTATCGTTGGATTGCCTGGTCCAGAATCGATTATTTACAGACCGCCGTCATATAGCTGGAATATTGCAAGTGCGGCGTCAACTTTCATGTAAGCTGAACACTTTATAACGGTTTCTGAGAGACGGTTTCGTGTCAACAGATCTAGTGATCCTCTTATTGTGCCCCGTACCTTGCACACTTAGCGCAGCCTGACAACCTTTTATTGAAAGGAATTTTAAATACCTGTAAATGTGATATTTTTTTCCAGAGTTCGTGTAACTACGTAGAAGATCCATTGATGGCGAAGAAAGGTTTGTAAAAACGTGACGTTAAATAATTTCATCATCAATGTCCTAGCACACTGTGTTCAACCGTTCTCTTTATTGTCATATCAGTCGGTTCAGGGTCTGAATTTGTGTCGTGTGAGTCGAGCGGGTGATCAAGGCTGTGTGTGACGTGGCTGATGGCTTGTCATTGCGCCCCAATAGTGTGAACAAATGTTTATGGGTACAGTCAGCAGTTTGCCTGGCCCAGATACCATTCTACCTTAATTATGACATGGCGAGAACAATGCTGGCTCACTTGGTGTCACGCATGCCTATTCAGTATCCCCGTGACCGCCTCCGTCGTCAAGTGCCAGAGCGTCCTCCCTGAGAGTGCAAGGTCCTGGGTTCGATCACCTGCCGTGTCATACTAAAAGATATTAAAAGATTGTACCGCTAGTAATCATGATACTGTTTGAGTGGGGTATTCGTGTTAAACTGTGGCATGGTACATCGGTGGGCTAGCTTAATGCAATCGGCATAAGTCTTTGCACGCACGCACGCACAAACGCACGCACGCACGCACGTCGCTATTTAAGTGCAGTAATCTTGGACGTGGCGTTAAACCCATTTCCCCTCACCATTATCCCCGTCCGTTCGTGTGATCCATGAATATCCGGGTTAGGATACGTCTTCATTAACCCATGCTTGTGTAAAAGGCGACTATTCTTGTCGGGCGGTCAGGCTCGCTGACGTGGGATACGATAACATGCATCAATCGATGTTCATATTATCAATCACTGGGTTGTCTGGTCCAAATTAGATTATTTACAGACCGCCGTCATATAGCTGAAGTATTGCTGAGTGCGGCGTTAAATAACAAACTATAATTTTGTTAATTGGGTAGATAGAAGCATAGGACTTTGTTGTACTGTGTTTTCCCAAATTTGAAGTGATGTCACCACTGTGGAAATGCATTAAAACATTAAGGTTCATTCTTTTTTTTCAACAGTCTGAAGCATAATTGTTTTTCAGGAGTTTTCGGTGGGGGGTGGGGGTGGGGGGGCATCCACCCTCTCACCGCACCCCACCTCACGCGGGTATGATGCTGACAAACCTTGAAGCAGCGAATTACGGTGTCTTAGACGGCTGTACCACCCGTTCCCACTACTAGAAACTACGATCTGGTATATGATATGTTGCATTCTAGAAATGCAAACACTTATCTTGTTTCAACTATTTTCCTTTACAGGCGGCACAAAATGACTCGAACCAGGAACGTTATCCACCGTTGTTCTTTGACCGACGCCTTCGTGCAAGTTGGAATATCATCTTACGGCTCCTTGTTGCTAACCGTCTGTTCCATGCTGTCGTTGTTGCAATCCTTCTTTGTTTGTGTAGTCGCCCACTTGTTAAGCGAACGCATAGAAAAAAAATAAAAAAACGTGTGTGGTACAAATCGTGCTTAGTTTGTGTTTCCAGTTTGAAAGTGCTTCTCACTTTGAACAGTTTAGGCAGTCTTGTAATTTGGTGCCTGTGTGAGCCGTCAGATGACTACTGTACCCTTTTTACCAAGAAAACACGGGTGGCCCATTTGAATTACCGGCTTTGTTCGTTGTGGAGGGTTGCCTCCCTTGATTGAATCAGGATCAAATGACCGTGTTTTTTTATCCTTGGTCTGTCTGCAACATACCCTTGGTGGTACATTGGCCTGCGTAACGTTAACTCACACGCCCAGGTATAACTATAATATTGTTCCGTAAGTTGCATCAAAACCTGCATGACCACCTGCATGACCACCAATGCTGCAGTGGCGCATTGGCCAAGACAGTTTTACATTCCATGGTCTTGCATTTTGGTTCCTCCGAAGCATAGGAAACAAACTTGGATCGTCATTACGTTGACCTGGGTTCGAATCCCGACGTGTTGAATTTGTGAAATGCAATAGACAACTCTTCGAAGCACATGAACGTATGTGCGTGACACGGGCCTTCCAATAAGAGTTGAACTGTGTGGAGTTTCGGCCCTTTTTGCACGCCAGGAACCTATGATCGTAGATTTCAATCTTCTCCCCCAATTTGTTTTATAGGTTTGTCATCACCATATATACACGTGCATCACTTAGGGCTTTTCTCCCACGGTAAGCTGACACAACCACAACGTGATATAACTGGAATACTATTCAGAGCGGCGTAAAGAGCCAACTTCCAAGAGTTGAAACAGTCTGTTCAGCTCACCTTGCCCCAGTGAGGAGCTTACACTGGACTGGTTTGTTTGTTGTTTAACGCGCACTCAGCAATATTCCAGCTATTTGACGGCGGTCTTTAAATAATCGAGTCGTCACCAGACAATCCAGTGACATCATGAGCATCGATCCACGCAAATGCGGATACGATTGACGCCTGACCAACCGATCCCGTCAGTTGCCTCTTACGACAAGAATAGTCACCTTTTACAGCAAGCAGTGGACAGTGACAGCAGCCAATATAGTTCCAACTGAAATATGTTTCTTATACAGTGGCGAAACAACATAAGCAAAACAACTATTCCCTACACAACTTGTTTTTAATTGCATTTCGCGGCAATCCATCGGTCTGTCCGCTAGAGTAACTGCCCTTTGTCTAAGGGAAGCTACTCTAACCCTAGTACATGAGACTTCACGGCCACGATCAGATGTTATTGACTGTCTGTCCTGTCACAACGTTAAGAAGTGCAGTCAGATGTACACACGGCGACAAAACGAAAAAAGGTAACCATTCGAACATATTTCGGCCAAATCCAACTTTTTATATTTGCGCAAAAGGTTCCAAGCCGCAGAGGTCTACAAGCACAGATATGGCTGAAGATCCCGCTTGGCTAGGCCTAGTGCCCTCGCAATTTTTTTTCGCAATTTATATCTCCAAAGTTGCCCAAACTTGTAAAATGCCGTAGCTACGTCACAGTTAGACACATATTTTTTTGTATATTAGACTGTACTTGTGATAATGATAGCAATGATCCCAGCAGTTTCTCCAAATTCCCGATGGTTAATTCTGACTCGATCGCCAAATGACAAAGGCGACGCAAACACTGAAAGTAGTCCCTACTTGACCTTTGATATTTGCATCTCTCTCCGCATATGACCGCAACGGATTAATAGAATACTAAACGAGCTCCCGTGTAATACCAATTTTATGAAACGAGTGAATAGTTGTGGTATCTGACGAGCGAAAGCGAGTCAGATACCACAACTATTCATGAGTTTCATAAAATTGGTTTTACACGAGAGCGAGTTTAGTATTTTATTTATTACTTGTCATTTATAATGTTTTTAGAATTATACTGTTGAGTGTGAATAGGCTGACACCTACACGATCCATGGCATAATCCAATTGAGTTTAACAGAATAATACTTCAAACACGTCAAAAGTTGAAACGTATGAATTTAATATCATACAATGGTCCACCTTTAGAATTCAGGCGTTCATCCCACAAAATTACCGTAGTGCTATCGCTATCACAACTCACATAATTTAACTTAGACTAACGACTGTCGTTGCGCTAGAGTACGATCGCCTTGTGGAACGGGGCCTTCCACCTCAAAGTTTACAATCACGTCACAATACCCGATGACGTAATTTGTTGAATTTTGTTGCAAGATCCATCGGCGAAACAATGCCATGTGACGTCAGCCTAGCAACAAGGTTGCTGGGGTCATCGAGTGTGCATAAGCTCCTCCCAGTGGTGTATCATCTCTACACAAATGTCGTTGAATAAGCCAAGGGATGTTGAGAGCTTTCAATATTTGTTCGAGAAACGTGTTCCGAGAGTACATAAGCACGCGTTGTGGTATTACACAATGTGTAATAAAGCTGTATGTTTATTAAACGGGTGATCTCTTCACGGGCAAGTAATAAATCGTTTTTATCCGTTGGCTTTATCCTGCCGAGAACCCCGCCCGTTATATGATAAAAACTTTTTTTATTCAATACAAATTTCACAACACCATGTGCAACAAATGGCCAGTGTACAGTTTTGTTCAAATTGACAGATAACTGGTCAACTTGACTTCTCGCATTGTACCAATGTAGGGAATCGAACCTTAATTCAAATTGGTCTTCGGCGTGACGAGCGATCGCTTTAACCTCGAGGAGACCTCACTGCCCTCACCGCTGTGACAATAGTGTTATGACCCCTGACTTAACCTCAGTTAAAGTCTATTTCAAACACGGACTTTCTGTGGAGTTCTGTTTTTCGAAATATTCTAAAAGTAAAAGACTTTTATGTTGTAGTGTATGCGAATCTTGCTAATTTACTACAATAAAAGAAAATGCGGTTAATGCATATATACAAACTAAACGAGATAGCACATTTGATTATCAGGTTATCTAACATATTTATCTGAAACAAATTGTTGAAAAAATATTAGCTATAGGAGGCAAATGGCGGTGAGAATTATAGGAATGGATCACTGAATATCATCAAAAAAATAAATAATGGATGGCAGGCATTATGGGAAATATCGCTTGCTCGCACTATCGCTTTAACGCTTTCTCTCATAACTGATAAACCACAGTCATGTGAGGGAATCGGGTGTTCTTTAACTTCTTTTAATAGTTTATATTTAAAGTATTGCCATGACCCGCAACGCGCTGACGGCGTGATTAAGAAATAAACGACGAGTGGGAATAAGGGGCGCAGCCCCGAGTGGTTTATTCTTCCTGCAGTGTACTTCGTGGTCGTTTATTTCATATATGAGATATCAACATCATGTACAGTCTGTTTAAGGATGATGATAAAATGTACAAGCATTAATTTTTTTTACCAGTATCTTAATAATGATGACTCATTGACATATCTCTCCCGCTTTTGGGTGCATCTTTGGCCATCGCGTGTATCTGTGTTGCCCAGCTGCATCTATGGTGAACAACTCAAAAGACACTCCCCTCTCATGATAGAACAATGATTTCCTTCTTCATTGTTCTTTGCGAGTTATCGCGTAGCTATCGTATATAGTCCCATAAAACTCCTATGTAGGGCCATAAATCAATCAATCGCTTTTTACGCAGAAACCCGTGTGTGTGTGTGTGTGTGTGTGTGTGTGTTTATGTGTTTATGTTGTGTTCGTTTCCAAGTAAGGGTCAATGATACTAAATAGGCATTTCAACAAAATGGGTAATAATTTCAAGTATCTACCTTCAACCCTAATCATGAAAAAAACATTTTCCATGGTTCAACGATACCTGCCTGTTTTGAATCAAAGTATTAAAATGAAGAAGATATTGAGCAAATACAAAATTATCAACAGCCAAAGACAACCCAAAAATCTTAGAAAGAAAGTTCTAAATTTGATTCTGTTGTCATCCCTCCACAGGTTTCTAAGTGCGGTGACAAACGTTGCCTTACTTGCAGCAATATAATTGAAGGCTGTTGAGTCCAAATTACAAAGGACACTAAATCTACTGTAAAACAGGATATGACTTGTTATACTAGAAATGTTACTTGATTGTTTGCAGATATATATATATATAGCAAGTGGACGGGACCAAAAAACAGTACGTTACATCCATCAGTTCGTAATAAGCGTGATCGTTATGAACATAGCTAGTATACTGTACAACTGTTTCATTGAAATGTATTATTTCACTTGAAATATTATCAAGTCCGTGACAAATACTAGACTGGTTCCCTGCCCTGTGCTTCGCCTCATGCAGCGAGCAGGGGCTTGTGGTGTGGCGAGGAGCGCAAGCACTCTGAGGTTAGCAAACCAGTCACGAAGACCATTCAGCTTTTCACGGGACGAGATGGTCACGAAGAACTTGTTCCTTCATGAAGCATTCGTCACCACTTGTATCTTTCCGTAAACTACAAGAAGGCTCGTCCTCAGCTGGGCCATGTTCCACAAAGCGAACGTAGCGCTACGACTGTCGTAAGCTAATGTAGAAGTTGCGCAACGATCGCCTCGTGGAACGGGGCCCGTCAACTTGCGATGTGAGAGACGGTGTTCGTATCGCCAAACCTCTCTTGACTTTGACCTGGATCCTGTCTACTTATAATAGTAAAGCGGTAAGCTTGCGTCGCGTACCAATAGTATAACCAGTTTAGTCCCCTCTCGACACGGCAAGCCAATCAGAATGCGCGTCACGTGTGCCCAAATGTAACGGAATAAGCCGAGTGGAGCCGTAAGCTGGGCCCCGTCTCCAATATCAATATAAGCTGGGCCCCGTCTCCAATATCACAATATAGGAGCCGGTACAGGCCAATGAGACGATGGCTGTGAGCGCCTTCGAAATATTAAACATACACTATGTTATGTTATTTTTCATTCGTCGCTATTTTTAGACGAACCGCTACCCTTCTACAAAAGCCTCCACTGAGAAACGTCACAAACTACTTTAAGTCATTTTGTTAGATGTGCCACCATCGGGTGCAGGAAAGACCTTCAAACTTTAAATTGTAATTCATTGTAGGAAATTAAAT